AAAGGTCTTTTCCAACCTTAATGATTCGGTGGTTCTGTGAAAAAACTAGACATAACTACATCCCTTAAACACCGCTGAAAGGTGCGGATGAATGCTGAATAGATGCAGCATAAACTAGTATAGACTGGAAACCATGTACTTGAATATATTTTGCTAATAATTCCAGTAAAATGAATAGCTAGGTGCAAGAGGAGGAAGCAGATTATGCTGAAATAAATGTGTGTTGTATTGGAGAAGCGTGCTGTTCCCTAGCACAGGACCATTTTTTTGAGGATTGAATTTCTTTTGACGATTGAATTTCTTCCCTAAAGCTGGTAAATTAGTATTGTTATGCATCCTTATTCACACCGAAGTGTGTGCATGTTTTACAGACTGCAAGAAATCTCTATACTATCGTACTAATTTAAAGCTCTTGAAAACCTGTTATATTTACAGCAAAGGCAACCTGAAGTCTTTCCGACAGAACAAAGTTAATAGGCCAATAGCTGTGAGTCGTTGGAATTAAATATCCCTTCCTTTAAACATCATTGAGGCTACAAGTGGTAGCTAAGGGTAACCTAGTAATGTTTTGCTCTAGGAAAACAGCAAAAAACCCCATCTCTCTGCACGTATCTTGAACATGACCCCCCTGTTGTAGGTCCCTTCCAACTGGAACTCTTCTATTCTAGAAGCCTTTAGTGCTTTGGAATTAATTTATTACCTCAACCAATTTTTTTTTGGTGTGAACTTTAAGCTGCAACCGTGCAGATGGTAAATGAGGAAATGAGTCAATAAGCAACAGTTCAGAGAAGTTTTTTCCCTGTGTCCTAGATCTGTGGGTAATCTTGTAAGCGTGAAATTTATTTCTTTTACTGCCTTCTGTTGAAGTGATGTGGATTAAGCTCTTAAATACTTCTGCACTCTCATGCAGTCAGGTACGTTCCTGATGCAGTTTTTAGGTGATAATGCTAAACCTGCTTTTAGCAAGAAACTAGAGCAGGAGTAGTAATTCACTTACATGCCGCTTTTCCTTACGAGTCACAATTTCGTTGCGAGTGTTACATAGTCTGCAAGAGTAATTGCACTATGTTCGTTGTTGGCTAATTTTAGTGCCATGGTTTCACATTAGTAACATTTAATTAATTTTTAACAGAATAACAGTTTAAGTGAGGTGGTTTTGTACTGGTTTCTTACAGCCCAGTTGGCGGTTAATCCATTAAAATTGCATTAATATTTGCTAATGACAAAAGAAGGGAACTACCATATTGCACAGCAGCCTGTTTTTGGATAATTGCACATCCGTTAATCATTTGTACCTAGCAGAAGTGAAAAGATGGAGCCATTTAGAGGCAAGAAGAGTTCGGAGCGCAGGATGGAGTGACAGTAGAAGTGTGTTTCTTAAAAAAGCAAATATTTGAAAGATAAAGCTTGTCATGCACTATGTTAAATATCGTAAGAGCTGTTGAGAAAAAACGATCAGGGAGCATGACATTACTAAGAGGGTGCTTATTAGAAAAGATTATGAGTATAAAGTGAGATAAGCTTTGTGCAAACTCTATTGTAGGATTTGTTTTCCTATAACTCAGTTGTTCTTAACAGAAAATTTATCATTTTCTACACAGAACTGACACTCTCAAATATAAAAAGTGATGTTCAGAATTGGAATTTGAAACCAGCACTAAATCAGACAGGCAGAGGCCATGGTTTGTAGAGCTACAGCTGAGATGTGAAAAATGTGGAGTTATTCACAGTTCATAGGATTAACGTGGGTGGGAAGAAGCCTCAGAGGGTCTGTAGTCCCATCTCGTGCTGAAAGCAGGATCAGCTCTGGGGTCAGGGCTTTGTCCAGTCACCTCATCCCAGAAGGGAGGTCCTGCAACCTTTCTGGATGACCTGCTTCACGGTCCTCACCGTGAAAAGGTTTTTTACCTCGTATCCAGCTTGAACCTTAATTGTATTAATTTCTGCCCCTTGTCTTTTGATCTCCCATCATAAACCACTGTGATGGAGCCTGGCTCCATCTCCCTGATAAACTCCTTGGAGGTATGAGAAGGTTCCTATTACAGGGTGTCCCTGAAGCCTTCTCTTCTCCAGGCTGGTTAAGCCATGTCCTCTCAGCCTCTCATACTGCCTGTGCTCTAACTATTCATAGGTTTTGGAGAGAGATCGACTGACTGGTTTGTCTCTTTTTAAATTTTTTTGCAAAATATTTTGCAGAGGCTTGATCAGAATTGCACAGACCTAAAGATTAACCTCTAATAAGTGAATGCACAGCATTGGTTCAAAAGCAAGTGTATGGTTTAGACTGAGTTTCATGCTCTCCAAATTGAAGTAATAATACTGTATAAGCAATGGGTTGATTTTTAATAACTTTTTTTTCCCCTCTGTGATCTAACCAAACTGATTTCCAGACTCTGCAACTGTGATACGGTAATTCTATATCTTAAAGATCTGTTGCCCTGTAAAGGAGCTCTAACTCATGGAAATCATTAAAGTAAAACAAAACAAAATACCCCCCACCAAAAAAACCAAACCAAAACAAAAAAAACCCAAAAAACCCCCAAACCCACAAACAAGCATACTGTAGGAATCTGATGACTTATAGCAAATTGTGCCCTTGTAATCAAAGGCTTTGATAATCTCTTTTACAGACAGCTGACTCAGCAGATTATACTGTTGTCCCCAACTTTGTGCTAAACTGAGGACCATGTCTTGTGTTGCATTGCTTGTTCTCAAAGGCAATAGTTGATTATTTTTACACTGCGTTTACCCACTGTATGAAGGAATTGTCATGTGGAACTAACTTTAATCAGCTGTGATCTCTAGTGTGCTGGAGCTTATATGTGAAGTGAAACTATGTCTGCTTATTTGCAAAAAGACTGCTACCCTTCTTTTGGAGTAGGATTTGCCAGGTGGAGTTTGGAATTGGTTTGTACCAGGACACTCGCACGAAACACAGAGTTTGAGTCCTTTACATTGCAGGTTGGGAGTTTTAGCCTTTATGGTTGCTTGAGTCACCACACTTAGCAATTTTCCAGCCAGCTGGAGGTAAAGTAGAAATGGAAATCTACCCTGCCTGTATAGCAGGCAAGCGCTTCAGATAAAATAGGAAATAACTTGCCATACACGAGATTTCACAGAGATAATTTCATTGAACAAACCCACGTGCAATTATGAAATTAATTTTTCTAAATTTTCTAAAGCTGCTACCTGCGCTGCACAGAAAAAAAAAAAATATATATATACCTGCTTCTCTGATTGAACACAGCCTTGCTTTTCAGAAATGCTTTTGAAGGCATTCCTCCTTCTCATTTGCTGTAGAAGTTTTAGACCCCTGCCACCTCCTGGCGGAAAAAAACCCCACAACTTGTCCTTAAAACATGCATTTCTGCATAGAGCTCGCTGCTTATCTATACCCCTCCTTAGTACCCTTAGGAGGGGTATAGATAAGCTTGAGGGCTAAGACAAATATATTGTTGGACATCTAGAATGTCCAACATTAATGGCAAAACAGTGAGGGGAGCATAATGACAAAGTAATGAAGTGACATGCAGGTTGAAATTAGGTTCTAGCCCCAGCAAACAGTCAGATGTGCGTGCAGAAAGTTATGTAGATGGTACTTGTAGCCTAAAAAATCTTGTATATTTATTTTCTTTTCCCCCTCACGTTCCTCTCACCAAGTATCAGCTTCACATCTTGCTTTGTTCCACCTATTCAAGTACAACTGTTGGTTGTGAAGGGCTGCTGGTAAGTAGATAACTCTGTCAGTGCATCCCAGAGCAGCAGCAGTAATGGACTGTTGCCTCACAGTCAGTCGTAGGTGTTGCTGGTCAGGAGGAGAGCAGAGCCGAACTAGCACAGCAGAACTAGAAGCTCTTAGCTGTAAAAGCATCCAAGTTAATATTAGCAGATAATTTTGTTATTGTCTCAGAAGGTGTTTCCAGTTTGCACAGGTGGACTTGTAATGAAAACTTGAATGTAAACCCACTTCTAATGCCCAATTAAAATATATTTACATTGATTTCTTCTTTTTCTTTCCCCTTTAGGTCTGTTATTTTTCTTACGATGGAAAGGCTGGTTGTCTATCTACTGGTTATTAGTACAGCCGTGAAGGCCATGATGTGTCCCAAAAGATGCATGTGTCAAAACCTGTCTCCATCCTTCACAATTCTCTGTACGAAGACGGGGCTTCTCTTTGTGCCCCCCAGTATTGACAGGAGAACAGCAGAACTAAGGTTAATGGATAACTTTATCACTACACTTAGGAGAAAAGATTTTGCAAACATGACTAATCTAATTCATTTGACACTATCAAGGAATACAATAAGTGAAATCATGCCTTATGCATTTTTTGATCTTAAAGGCCTTCACGCCTTACACTTGGATAGTAATAGACTGACTTACATCAGTGAAGATCATTTCAAAGGTTTAATTAACCTTCGGCATTTAATACTCAGTAACAATCAATTAAACTATATCTCTCCTGGGTCATTGGATGACTTCATTGAAACAATTGAAGACCTGGATCTGTCCTACAACAATCTCGTTAACGTTCCTTGGGAAACAATTGCCAAACTTTCTAATGTCAACACGGTCAGTTTGGATCATAATCTCATTGAGTTTGTGCCAGAAGGAATCTTCTCAAACCTTCACAAACTTGCCCGTCTAGACATGACCTCCAACAAGTTGAAAAAGATCCCTCCTGATCCTTTGTTTTCCAGAATACCAGTGTATGCCAAGTCTAAAGGATCTCCGCTGTCGTCCCTGGTGCTTAGCTTTGGAGGGAATCCTTTGCACTGCAACTGTGAACTCGTGTGGCTGAGACGTCTCACCAGAGAAGATGATCTAGAAACCTGCGCCTCACCACCAGAGCTGATGGGCAAATACTTTTGGTCTATTAAAGAGGAGGAATTTGTCTGCGAACCCCCGATGATAACGCACCGAACCCCAAAACTAACAGTGACAGAAGGCCAAAGCGCCTCTTTAAAGTGCAAAGCTGTTGGTGATCCAGATCCCTATGTTCGCTGGATCTCACCCGATGGGAAGCTGGTCTCTAACACTTCTAGGACTATTTCTTATGAGAATGGTACTCTGGATATTTTGGTTACTTCTTTGACTGACAAGGGCACGTTTACCTGCATAGCATCAAACGCTGCAGGGGAGTCGACAGCTCCAGTCGAACTCCTTGTTACCCCGTACCCTAACCTTGCTAACAGCACCAACTGCGATAAAGACACGGAGCCTGGCCCCTCAGATATTCTCATATCTGCTAAGTCGAGCTTTCCAAATGAAACGAAGGCTCAGCAGGAGAAGGTGGTTGTGGTTGCTGAGCTAACATCATCCTCCGCTCTTATCCAGTGGCCTTCTCAGCATCACCTCCCTGGGATTCGAATGTACCAGATTCAGTATAACAGTTCTGCTGACGACATACTAGTGTACAGGTAACCCTGCTCACAGACCCATGTCCATACCTCGGTGAAGCAGGTAGTGGAAGTAAGAAAAAAGGATAGTGTAGTTTGAGGTATTCTGTGTCATGAGAGCGATCTTGCAAGCAATGACTATAAATGAGGGGATGAGGAGACAATGGCTGCCTTAGACTTTGCTCGTTAAACTCCTGTTGTTGAGGAGTTACACTATTAAAACTAATAATACATCTGCTTCTATGCTGCCTCTTGAGGATCTCTAAACTCTTTACAGAGATAATTAAGTTTCATAGTCCAGTTTAATGGACCAAGAGAAGCTGATGAGCAATATCTTAGTTGTTAACATTTAAGGAAATTGAGATGGAGATTTTAGTTACCTTTTATGCTGATTAAGTGTAATTATTTTACTTAAAAATATGGGGAAGAGAGAAAAAGTCAAGATGCCCAAAGTTGCGCGATGCCCAAAGGAACATTCTGCCTCTATGGATATGGCCGTGCTATGTTCTGCCAAACCTTCAGCCCGTATCAGTCGCTGAGTGCTTCCTTTTCTCCACTTTTGTGGTGTCATGGGGACAAAACTCCCTGGTATGAATTGGCCACTGCACAGAAAGTTTTAGATTATGTATTTTGTGTGGATCTCACATTTGTATGCTGGAGTTTATTCTTTGGTGAAATCTACTTGGGAATAACTATTTGATATTAAATCTCAGTGGACAGCATGCAGATTAAGTTTATAGCCGCTCCTCACTGCAGGGGTGGTTGAGTTTCTGATTACCTGCCTTTCTATTTATTGGCTTTATGCCTTTCTATAGGCTTTTGTTTGTAATTAACTGGGGGTGGAAGGGATAGGGAGGGGTAGAATGACTTTAAAGTAGGAGCTAGCATTTGATTCGGATTTAATATTTCATAGTTGTGTACTTGGTAAGGATGATAACTTCTCTAAACTGAGTGATAATGATTTTTGTAATGTACTGCTTGCACTAAAGTTTGGAGTGGAGTAAGCAAAAGGAGAATGACGTCTAATAGCTCCAGAAATACACCTGGAAGTTTGGGTTCATATATGCTGCTTTAGTAAGCAGTTCCCTAGGGAA